TTTATAAATATTTTTTCATAAGTAAATATTTTAATGACTTTTTAACTTCGTTTCAACGTTCAGTTGAAACTTACAATTCTCCCTCAGTACGGGACATGTTAAAGGAATCTGGAGTCCTAGGAATTTGTTTCCTTTAACTTCCGTAACTTTATAATATCCTTTAATTCCCTTAACTGTACGACATTAAACACTTTACTCTCTATAACATAGATAAATCCGCAAATTTTGCATATGTTTGTTACGCGAAACGTTAATTTTGCGGTATTAGGCAACGCTTGAGGTTCATAGCGGCAGGCAGAGTGGACACAGCTTTCTAAGCTCCGAAGCTTAGTATGGACAGAACATACCGTCCTAGATAATCACCCAACTAAGCGGTAACCGTGTCTAATACAGCTTAACTTTGATAATTAGGCAAGAATCACTGTTTTCCCTGCAGCAGAACCGTGAAGTTAACAGCAAGTGTGTCTGCTTCTAAATTCTCCCGTGCAACCGTGACACAGATTAGTTGACCTTATTGTTAAACGAGATTATTACGCATCAACATAGAGAATCGCAGAAAAATATTGGAAATGTCTCCAATTTTTACATTCAAATTGATTTTTAACTTTGACTTAGTTTGGTAGAGTCTAACAATTCCAACGTCATAATTTTCATTCTGTTATTCTTACAATTGTAATTTATTTCACCTTATCAACATTAAATTCCCCGTACCCCCAGATCCTTCAATGAGATTTCAGTGATTTAATGCTTTCAAACATGTAAATGGAAAATAAGAATTTTATATTCCCAAAATATCAGAAAAATTTACCGGATTAACGTCAGATTAACACGTATTTTTAGAGAATGAGAAATTCCCCTTAAATAATTATAACCTTCAACCATTAACATCATTCTACGCCATCGTTAACGTTATTAACTGCCCAAAATTGTGCTTCCTAACCATTATCGGGATCTCTCCACTATCTATACTTATATCATAAACATACTCGTGTATACAGGTTGGACCAGTCAAAATTCGCACCTTAAATATCTCCGAAATCATGAAAGTAAGGGAAAAATTTTTCGTATAAAGTTATTTGCTATAAAGAGGACCATCGTATGATCATGTGTAGATTATCCCCGTTTTTCTAATGACATGCCGTGGTTCTTTATTTATTTGCTAATAACAGCCCTTAAGTTTATACAAAAACTTATAACACAACAGTAGTCAAGGTTAATTATATTGCTATTGCTGACTCAATTATTCTGATAACGACGTCACAATTTATCAAGGTACATGTGCCTCTCTGACCTTGACTGATCTTGTGTTATAGATCTTCGTGTTCTTCTTAGGGACTGCTAAATAAATAGAAAACTATACGTCGTTAAAAAAGCAGAGATCACATCTCTTCGGCGATTCTACCTATAAAACATATCACATAATTTTTATTTGAAAAATTTTTTCCTTACTTTCATGGTTCCGGAGATATTCAAGGTGGTAATTTTTATTAATCCACCCTGTATACTACAAAATCTACAAGACTAACTTTATATAAAAATTCATCTACTAAATTTTCACATTTCATTTGTCAACAGGTGAACGGTTTTCGATTGCTTGGTATCAACCACATGGAAGTGGTCAGCGTGCTGAAGGAATTGCCTATACACGTTCGAATGGTTTGTGGGAGGAACCTCGCCTCGCAGGACCCTCTGTGTCCCATCGACACTGCTCAACATCAGGCTGCATTCCAAACTAGAGTAACAAATCGAATATAAAAAAGATAAACTATAATAAGGGCCAAATGTATTGGCCTATCGTGAACATTTCTCCTCTGTCGCATTTTCGCATCGACGAATACTACCGAACAAAACATATGTTAGAAATATATATACACTCCCGTTCATAAGGCTCCGGACACTTTGTGCATTTAGATCAAGAATAAATTTCTATTATACTTAGAATATGGAACTAACACTTGCTAAGTATTTATACTATAAAGGAAACTAAATTATATCTATAATCAGTCATATCTATGTCTTCAATAGTGGCAAGTGTCCGGTGACTTATGGACGGGAGTGAATATGCTTTCTTTCGGGATGAAGGTTCATAACCCTTTCACCAAAAGGCATCCCCGCTTTCCCCTCTCTGTAGCCAGATCCTTCTAGAACATTAGCAGTACGCGCACCTCCGTAATCGACAATAGAGACACCATGACCAATGCGACACCATTCGTCGGCCCTCAATGTCCATTGACAAAGACAGGACTCCGGACATCGACGGCGCCAAGGCTTATGAAAACCAGACCAAAGCCTTCCGACCCGCGTGTCACCCCTACAAAGGAGTTGACGCTAACATATATATATGTAGTGGTTGGACAAATGTGCACCATGCCACAATAATGTTAAGAAGACCAGTTATTAATGTCACGGCAAGGTATACGAAGAGAAAAACTCCTTACAGCCACGAGATTCAAGAGTATGGTGTAAATCCTTAGGTCAGTGATCCGTAAAGGCGAGCTCGTTAGCTAGTTTGCCAATCTGTGTCCCGGAGTGAGCGAGCTAATGATGGACTCTATCATGTATGCCCTAAGGGCGAGGTAACACAGTTAAGTCACCCTCGGGTGGCCGGCTTCAGAATGATCTGTAGTGGCTTGATAAATCAACGTTATCTGTTTTTGGACGTATCTATTTTTGTAACGCGATCTTTGTCTTACTTCTAGCGGTCATCTGCTCTCTTCGTCTTGTAAGGGTACACTTCTTTCATCTCTTCTTTTTTTGATAATATGCTTTCACCGTGCTATGTTTTAGAAGGAATTAGCAGGTGTAGTTTAACCTTTACACTGCACAATTACTTTTTCCATCTATTGTGAATAAAATTTGCAATTTTAGAGGAAAAACAATTCTTTAATCTTTAACTTTTTTCATTTTTCATATTACCTATATGCATATTGTTATTGAAACTGGGAAAAAAACAATTATAGACTCATCCTGATGGCTATTTCGGGTACGATAGTATAATTTTTGTACTATTTCTATTTTACAATTGTTTATATTTATTATATTGTGATACGAAATCTGTACTGCCTAATAAAATTCTATCTAATGTCGTATTGTTGTAAAATAGAAAAAAAAAAACAAAAAAGGAAAACCGGATTTAATTATTTTTTTATACCAGTAGTGTTAAAACGTTCCTTGGCCTCTATACCTAAAAGAGTTAACCCTTTCGTGACTGAATTATTTGTTTTGTAGAATTTGTTATTCATCTATCGATCATCGCGTCTAGACTGGATATTAAATTGAGATCAATTTTTGTTTGAGTAGACAAATGAGACATATGGAAGGATCTATAGGGTGATTGTTAATAACGATAAAAGTGGACTGTTTAAAGAAATGATAGAGAAGAAATTGTCTTGATTGAGCAATACATTTGGCCCTTACTATTATTTCACCGTGGTAATTGATAATTCGAACGTAACCAATATGATACGTATTTCGTAGAGCATTCTTGGTGGATCACTGCAGAACTTGTTGCCAATGATGGATCGTTTGGTGAAAGCTAAGTCTGATGGCTCATTGGCGACCACTACAACTACCGCTATGATGACGGATGCCAGCTTGAATAAGATGAAGTCGCGCTCCATGGAACCATTAACAGGTCTGGCGATGTGGAGCTCCGAACCGCAAACCATTGAGCTGGTAAAAGGAGAACGGGGCCTTGGGTTCTCCATCTTGGATTATCAGGTATGGTGAACTCATATTTATTATTAGGTAATTGAATAAGTAATTTCAATATTCTACGAAAGAGTCATCCATGAAATGGAAAAATTGCTTTAAATTGATTGACATCGTTAGAAAATCTTTGCAAGAAATAAGAGAAATATGATAGTGGTAAATTATCTGTCGCAGAGACATTTATCTAAAAAGAAAAATTAATAAACCGTGGAAAAAACATTGCAAATAATAATTTCATGCTTTCGGATAAGAAAAGATAGTCCCGTCATTTATGGGATGACCTATTTAAATGTTTCTATAGTACTATTATCAATATTAAGTTTAGGTTGAAATTAGATGATAAAGAAATTTTCAGGATTATTGTGTTAAGTAAGGCCTGACAGATGGTCAGAAGTACTTAGCTCGTGATATAACTGAGAGCTTGTGTAATAGAAGAAACCATAAAGTTGAAACCAAGTTAATCGAGATTTTATTGTGTTGCAGTTTCTATATGTATATCATTTACAGGGTGATCCGAGAAGCTGGATCTTGAATCTTGTTGTAATTCGTTTCTTTATTCTGCTAATGCTATACGTCACACTTATGGTACCTTTTAAGTATTACAAACTGCACTAGAATGCACACGTACCTAACAAATATTGAAATTCAATGTTCCCAGATAATGAAACCTCGATTTATTCTACTTTCATGTTCAATCACTTTTCATGTTAATCACTACTTTTGGACCACCCTGTAACCACTTTGTAATTTGTCAAGAATCTTTTGTTCTAGGCGGTCACTAAGTGTCTTCTAAATTCCAATAATCCTTTTAGAACATCCTTACATTTATACCCATTCCAATTGTTTCCAATCCTTTTTGAAAACACAAGTTTCTATCTAATCACTACCTTTCATATGAATAAGAGCAGTTTTTTAAAGTAAATATCAAATGTCCTTGAAATTCTTTGTAATTCTTATATAAAATTTGTACTCTTCAATTTTTATTACGAATCACCCCTTATCTAGCACCTAAGACAGCTCTACAAGAATTTAAATTAAATTCCGTCCAATTCGTGTCTTGAATCACCTTGTTACAGTTTAACCTGTATAACAGTACCAATCTACGTACATTATATAACACTGTCACAGACACTCTTACACGCACAAATTACACGTCATAACATTCCAGGATTCCACCTGCAAAAAATCTTCACAACCACCGCGATAACACCGTTTACACCAAATAATTTTCATTAAAAAAAGTCCTTTCTACGCTCATTTACTACCATAAATTTTTTC